CTTTGAGATCCATACGGGCATCAGCGAGCGCATCAGTGGAACAGTGGTCAACAGGTTTAGAGGGCAGACTGAAACCTACCTATTTGAGACGCTTGTCTCGAGTCTCTCCGTGAAGAGTCCTGCTGCTATAGGGTGATTACCTATTACAGTGACTTGGAGAAGTTTAAACTGTGTCTGGCATGGCCCTACTTTGTTGGGATGACACATCCATGGGCAAATGGATTACAGTTGACAGACTCTGCCTTGATGGCGGCGACGTGAAAGAATGCTTTTGTTGAAGGACTTGTTGTGGTTGCTTGATGGATTTATGAATGGAATGGAGACTCCATACTACTATGGATGTTTCTTGGTGTGTTATGTTTCATTGTGGGGGAGCAAATTTGCGACCTCTCCGATGGGGTTACAATTATGGAGCTATATGTTCCATGTTCCAATGTTAGGATGAAACAGACGATGGATTGATGCTGTGTGCTCGCTGATGCTCTCTCACTTTTGGCCGTCGTCGTTTGCGCCGCCACCTTTCTTCCGACACTCGAGAACCGCGCTCTCACTGAAATTGTCTGACGAAAATACTGATCGTCTTTGTTTGCGCTATAGGAATACTTCAACAAGTCTGCTGGTCCCGTGAGACGAGTCATGCTCACCTACAACCAGAATGGTACTAGCCGTGGCATCGCCTCCATCCAGTTCAACAGGGCAGACACCGCTGCGAAGGCCACCAAGGAGCTCAACGGACTCCTCGTCGATGGTCGCCCCATGAAGGTAAAACCTCTTACTCTGGCTAACCATAATTGCAACATTAACTGACCTATATCACAGATCGAAGTTGTCTACGACGCGTCTCACGTTCCTGCTGTCCCCGCTGCCAAGCCTCTCACTGAGCGCATTGCGTAAGTTGTTGTCCATTCTAGCTGTCTGCATTCATATACTTATTTATTCACAGTCACAAGGCTCGGCCCAAGTCTGCCGCTGCCCCCAAGACCAAGGAAAACAAGACCACTGCTACTGACAAGGGAAGCCGCCGCGGAAAGGGCCCTGCTCGCCCCCGTGGTCGCAACGCTGGTCGTGGAAAGCCCAAGACTGTCGAGGAGCTCGACGCTGAGATGATTGACTACTTCAACACCGATGCTCCCCCTGCTGAAGGTACTGCTCCCGTCAACGGCACTGTCCCCCAGGCTAGTGCCAGCCAGGATATCGGCATGGCCGATGAGATCTCCTAGACGGTTCAAACGCTACTTTCACTTTCCTCCATCGCGGCTCCTGCATGATACAAGTTTCGCAAATATTCTCGGGAGTTCTTTATGGTTGATGCGCGGGTCATATCTCCTTCTGTGCTCCTTTTGTTCTGCTTCTTTTTTTTTCACTGCCTGTCTACTCTTTTTATCTTCTTCTTTTGCTAGTACCAGCAGGCTTAATTCTTTTCATGTCTTTCGCAGAAGCCGGTGGAGGAAAGCATGTATCTACCCTCACAATGGAACATTACAGATGACAATCGATTTTCGAACAAGCTTGGAATTCCTTCCAAAGTTTCAAAACCTCGGACTCCCTGCTAAAAAAAGTTGCCATACCAAACGCCAAATCTGACCCTTATGTCCATCAAAACAAGAAATGTTGTCCCATCAAAAATATACACAAATCCCCCACTTCTAAAACACACCAGCTCTAGTCATGACATCATGGAACTGCTCCAAAGTAACACCAGCACTCAACCCAGCACCCCCATTCCCTTCAAGAATCATATCCTTAAGCAGGTCATCGCCTACGCTATCTTCCTTCAAGTCGCGCGCAATGCGCCGCAAATGCGACAGTGTAATAGGGCCATCCGTGCCGCGCGTGAATAGCTGGTACGCATCATCCACCTCAGCAGCCATGGCGTCATCATCGCGCGAGCGCAGCTTGGCCGCTGCTATTGAGACAAAGGGACTGTAGGGCACGTATCCGCTTAGGGTTGGATCGAGGGCGGAGAGGATTTCTGCGAGTTCGGTTGAATCGGTGGGTGGGAGGCCGAGCGCGCTGTTGAAGGGAGATGTGTCAGTATTTCGTATTTGTAGATGGGGAGTAAGTAATTGACGGAGGGGGTAGGGTTATAGCGTAGTGTCGATTGTAGATTGCTGGGATAGAGAGGCAAGGGAAAGCCTACACCAGTGCCTTGCGGACATCTTCGCGGGGAATGACTCCCTCCTTCTCGTCCGGGAAGTCTGTGTTATTGTTGGAGAATAAGTGGAAGACTTCTTTGATTTCGTTCTCTTCTTCGGCGGTGATGTTGTTTTCCTTGGCGAGCTTGGATGCGCGTCCACGCTTTGGTGCTGCCGGTGCGGAGGAGCCAGCTGCGCCTCCGCGCTTTTTGGGAGGCTGCGAGGGTGTCAGACTTGGTTGGGTATTTGGGATATCTGGGATTTCTTACCATGTGGGTATCAGTATCACTGGCAGGACTTGCGGCTTTACAAGGGTGTTGGCGACGAAATGAGGATTTGGCCTCGGAGGTGACAAAGGTGGGGAGAGCGGCGATTGGAAAACGATCTATGGATGCAGCACTTCAGCTTCACAGTTTTCTTATACACAATTTTTGCGCATAACTTATTATTGAAAACATCAGGAAACTGAACGTTCATTTATGTCGGGCTCCTGATCTACTACATACATAAATTTTCTGATTCTGAAGCAGGTTGCACGACGTAAAATCGAGATTCGAGACCAGCTACTAGCCCTGGAGACAGTATATCGCGTCAATGGACAACGTCACATTCCATTTTAATGAAGTAGAAATATCAAGTATCAAGTATCAGATATCAAGTGTCAAATATCACATCTATACAAAAGTGTTTTAGAACACGATCGAAGGTCGTAGTAGACACCCGGTGCTGACGTTATCGGGTTGGAGCCTGCGCAGGTAAGGGCTCTTTATCTCAACTTTCACTTCAAAAGGTTATACTCTCTTCTACATTCAGACACCTGATTCATCATGGATGTGTCACTATATGTCTACGACCTTTCAAAGGTAAGTCTTCCAATCCTACATGGGGTAAATATCAATTAATCTTGAATATAGGGTTTGGCCCGAATGGTATGTTCAACGCGCTATTGAAAGCGAACAGTCTCTAATTTGCACAGTACTCCCTTGCATTGACAGGTACACAAATGGATGCCATCTATCATACATCTATCGTTCTCAATGGGGTCGAATATTACTTCGGTCAGGGTATTCAAACCGCCGCTCCAGGGAGTACCCATCATGGACAGCCCATGGAGGTCGTGAAGTTGGGGACCACCGAGCTTCCAAATGACGTTATTGAAGAATATCTGGGCTCATTGGCAACCATTTATACACCCGAGGTTTGTTCATGAATACCTTCAGCAATGGGGCTATGGCTAATCAGTTCTAGTCATACGACCTTTTTCTTCACAACTGCAATAACTTTACTCAAGACTTTTCCATGTTTCTTGTCGGTAAAAGTATCCCGGAGCACATTATAAATCTGCCTCGTACTTTTCTCGAAACTCCATTTGGGCAAATGATGAAACCTCAAATCGAGATGGCTCTCAAAGGCGTCACCCAAGGCACTGGAACTGGTCCTGCGCCTGGGCCAAGGGCTCAACCAACCACAGCGAGGGCTGTCCCTACCGCACCCCAGCCAGTGGCATATCCAGGAGCTGGAACAGTCCGCATGGTGAGCAATCTCAGTCAGCTACAAAGTGAGCTGTCTGGGGCTTCTCATTCCTGCGCCGTTATTTTCTTCACATCGTCAACATGCCCGCCCTGCAAGGCTGTCTACCCGACATATGACCAACTCGCAGCGGAAGCAGGCGAGCGAGGTACTCTGATAAAAGTTGACATCGGTGTAGCTCGCGATGTTGGCATGAAGTACAGCGTTAGCTCGACCCCCACCTTTATGACATTTCTGAAAGGCCAAAAGCTGGATCAATGGAGCGGTGCGACCCCGGCTAAGCTAGTGGGAAATGTTCGTATGCTGTTAGAGATGGCACACCCGGCCCACCCCCATCGCCAACTACGACTCCCCAGTCTTCAGCGAGAGATTACTACCTTCGTCATGTATAAGAAGGTTCCACCAATCGAAAAGCTCCTCCAAAAACTTCCTGTCGCATTCAAGGAAGGCCACGGTGTCGCGCAGGTTATTGAATTTGTGAAGCTGCGTCACTCAACCACCGGACCTGTCGCCGATATTAGAGTCCCCGATTTGCATACATTCGCCACAACATTGACCTCCACATACTCGACGCTTCCCAGTGGCAGTCATTTTGCTGTGGTTGATCTAGTCCGTCTGCTTCTGCTTGACCCACGTGCAAGTGGCTACTTTGCCGAAGAAGCCCAACATGCAACCCTCCTAACTCTCCTTGCACCGCTATCCCAAGACGATCTATCCTCATGCCCATACAATCTCCGCATCGTGGCCCTCCAACTAGCCTGCAATCTTTTCAGCACACCTCTATACCCAGAGCAACTCACATCCTCTTCATCCCCACTTCGCGAGACTTGCCTCCGTCTCGCGACCAATTCCCTTCTAGACTCACAAACCAGCCTCCGTGTTGTAGCTGCCTCTTTTGCATACAATCTTGCTTCATTTAATCATAACGCTCGCTTCGACGGAAAGCTTGATCCTTTGTCTGAGGAAGATCAGGTTGAATTGACCGCGTCCTTGCTTGAGGCTGTCTCGCGCGAGGACGAGAGCGTGGAATCCTTGCATGGGTTGTTGTTTGCCCTTGGGCTTCTTGTTTACGAAGCTCCAATGGATGGGTCTCTGATTGATCTTTGTCGCGCTATGGGTGTGGCGGAAACGATTTCTGGAAAGATGAAGGTTGAGGCCGTCCAGAAGGAGCCGCTACTTAACGAGATAGGAGGAGAGCTTTTTAGCAAGGGGCTGTAATTATTAAATTCCTTCATAGTGTCCAATTGGAATACATGAACCTGAGTCCCTCGAACGATCGGCAATAATCTACTGAACCATCTTTTTAATTGTCCTTTCTCCCAACCTATGAGTTATTCAATCAAAAAAGATGTTCCCTTCTGCTACAAATGCAGCATGGCCAGCGAGTCTTATAGTGGAGACCTTCTTCCTGTCCTCATCCAAGAGAACATCCACAATGATATGACTATCCCTGCCCATCTCAATTCCCTGATCAATATAGAACCAGTGATTCCGGCCCTTCTGACCATTTGATAGTGCAAGGTAAGCCCCGAGAGAACACCCGCCACTACCACAAGCAGGATCCTCTAGACCGATCGCGATCATGCGCACACGAAGATCCCAAATCACCAAGTCTCCCTCCGTACGAGACCCAAGATGCCGGTGATACATGATTCCGGTGAAGGATGGCGACCATCCTGCGTCAAGATCAAGCTCTGGACTACCACCGGGCACAATGTTGGCGAAGATATCTGGCCTTTCAGTCAGATCCACCAGCACATATGTGACACCTTTGACCACCGAGATTACTGGTGATTTCTCTGCTACTCCGTGTAGATCCGAAACCGCGCTCAGGCTTGCTTGAACAGGAAGGATATGGTTTGCTGTCGCACCCTGCTGGTGGATATGAATATTGTGGGGGGCCTCAGCGGAGACCACCTCGTTGGCTGGATCATATGATATTGGGACAGGTCCGGCTTTGGTCATTATAGTGAGGGTGCCTGATCGATTGGGAGTATTGGCTAATACCTGGCGGAAGAGGAAGTGGCCAGCGCCAATGATGGGATGGCCGGCGAATTCCATCTCGTTGACAGGCGTGAAGATGTCTACCTGAGGGTTCCCATCTCCTGTGGCGGGATGTAAGAACACTGTCTCGGAGAAGTTGAATTCCTTAGCGATTTGTTGCTTTTGTTCTTGTGCCAACTTGACATCGTTAAGCTTCACAATGGCCACCGGGTTGCCTTTGAATCTATTTCAGCCAATTAGCTACCCTTGACCCATTTATATTGACCCGATGAAGAGAACTATACCTCTGCGATGTGAATACATCAAGGGTGACTAGAGAAGAGTTAGTGCGTACCAATTTGGTATCATTCTAGATTTTCATACCATATGGTGCCTGTTATCCCGACATAATGGCGATTATCTGCAAACAAAAGCTAGCAATAATAGTTTCAACGAGAATTGCTATGAATGATTATAAGTACAGTCAGGGCTATAGTTGTGATTGCCAAGCATAAGGGTTGATATCGGCTATCATCGGTCCAGCCCAAGTTGTATAGAACGTCATGCGGGGAGCAACAGTCCGACTCCGACACATACTTATCCTTGTAGTCGGCAGGGCGCAAAGTTTACCTGTTCAAAATCCAAGAGCACAACCTTGAAATTTTCTCTGACATGTTCGCCCGACCCCTTCATCGGCGACATCTCGGCATTATCCCGAGACCCATCTCGGCTACTCTCGGTATCAGTCATCACACACTGGCCCTGGAGATATCTACGGCGGGGAAATGAGTTGAAGATCTTGAAAGCCAATAACGCATCCCCAGTCTCCCATCATTCATGATCATGGCCACAGAGAATATCATCCACCACATAGTCGCTATTGAGGCTCTTCATTGCCCTATCCCTGAATTTGATCTACCAGGGCCGCATACGCGCGCAGTCCACCGATGGACTGATCCTGTTGATTTGCCCAGCCGCGTTAAAGATGCCACAATCATCGTGACAACAACGACACGCCTGACGGCAGAGACCCTCAGCGCCGAAGTCACCCCAAAACTCCGCCTTATAGCCATCATGGCGACAGGCACAGACTGCGTTGATGTAGCAGCTGCGTCCGCACGAGGAATCACCGTGTGCAACTGTCCCGGCTCTAATATTGACAGTGTCAGTGAACATGCCATTGGACTCTACTTTGCCACTCGACGGAAGTTCATCGAGCTTCATAATACCACAGTTGCAGTTCCTGCGGACTTGTCACTTGATACTGAGTGGAAGACAAACGGCACATTGCTCAGTCGGGTTCGCGCACCCGATGGAAAGGCCCCGTTGTTGTGTAGTGATGAGACTGTGTGTATTGTTGGATACGGATCGCTAGGCAAACGAATTGAGACTTTGGCAAAGGGTCTCGGGATGAACGTGATTATTGCTGAGCGTAAGGGTGTATCTCCTCGAGCAGGTCGGGTTGTGTTCGAAGACGGCTTGAAAAAGTCGACTGTGGTTGTTTTGTGCTTGCCGCGAAGCGCTGAGACGCTCAACATGATCTCTACCGCAGAGTTGCAAATTATGTCCCCCCATGCCGTGTTGGTTAACGTTGCAAGAGGTGGAATTGTCGACGAGCATGCCCTGGTTGAAGCTCTTAAGCGTGGGGTGATCTCAGGCGCGGCTACAGATGTTTATGCAACAGAACCTGCTGGGAGAGGTGATTCCCCTTTGCTGAGCCCAGAAGCAGCGGGGTTGAATTTGGTGTTGACACCTCACCTTGCCTGGTATTCTGAAAGGACTTTGCAAAATCTACAGGCTGCGTTGAAGAGCACGATTGAGAAGTGGTGTGTTGGTGAGATTATCAATCAGGTGCGATGATAGCCAGGAGACTTCACCCAATTCTAAATACATTTTGGCAAATAGATTATTATAGACTACCCTGCACAGCGCTGAGACCTTGGGGGAAATATTCAGGTCATCTTTGAACAATGAATACAGAAAGCTACACAGTTTAAGATACATGTTTATGAAGATATATTGAATACACATGTGATAGATAAAATGCTTAGACAACTTGTCGGTAATTATGTGCATAAGCGAAAAGATAGCCATCTACACGATTTCCGAGCAGTTGTGCGGCCACCCATTGACTGTTGTCAAAGAGGAGAGATTTGGAGTCATCCAATGCTATATCTATAATTGTCTTTGATGATCGCGCTGAGATCGCTTGGAGGGAAGTTTTGTTCCAATATTGATTTTTGACAGATAACTTAGACAGCTGGGGCCTTAGGAAGTACACTGTACAATTCAACAGCTTTTGCTTTTGCATGCGCCAACATATTTCCTTGGCCGTTTAACAGACCCTTGCTATGGGCATCTTCTAAATCTATTACTGCTGATAGGATCCTACGTTGTCGTTAGAATCAAGCCCCAGATTAGGTGAAGGAGTACACATACCGCGTATACAATATTGGCTCCGTCTCTGACTCCTCAACCAAAAAAACACGAGCAAGACTGATCCCTGTATTCAAGGCTGACTGAAACAATACCCAGCTCTGAATACTTAGAGAAGCCTCCGGGTTCGATACCACGTATTGAACGAGAGGGCGATAGAGCAAAAAGCGCGCACACCAATATAGGAGCTTCACACGAGTCCCAACTTGAGTCAGAGTACCTTCATCTGGCTTAATAGACCAATCGAGAAATTCCGGAACTTCCTGAGTCCACTTAGCCAGCTGTGCCTCCAGTTCCTTCGCCACTGGTGACAGTTGATAATTTGAATCTTCTCCCTGCAAAAGTTGGTTAGGGAGTGTTTCATGAACTCGAGTCCAAATGGCCTTCAGAGAAATCTCTGCGAGGAAAAATGTATAGATTATTCGTGTTGCAGGTTGCATGTGAAGTGTTGCTGATTCTTCACAGCCGAGGGGGAGAGGGATGAGGTGCTCCAGTTTAGAAAGACACGTCAAGGGTAGGTCATGATATTCCGTGAGTATATCTCTAATTGGTGTAGATCAGAACGTTAGAACTAATTATTTTGAGGTCAAGTAGACGAAACGATGAAATTTACCTTTCAAAATATAGAGATATCCAGAAAAGACGTAGGGTGGTATTACGATGAGTCTGATCGCGAACAACTTTGTGGGTCAAATCTCTGAAAAACTAATAAGTCTGGATATACTCCTGCGTTGGAACTGACGAACACATACCGTTGGATTGCCACATATAGTGTTGTACATCCTGAGTGGACATGCTGCCATGCCTCCAGAACAAGTCCTTTGCGATATAGAAATATCGCCGAAAGGATGTCCACCTGAGCAAACTCAAGACTAAACTCTTTCTTAAGGCCGGAAAACATATGATTGGCCATTCGGAATTCTCCTAGTCCTTGCTCTTGCTCTAAACAGCTATGCGCTTTGAATATAGCGACCAGCAGTATTACTAGGCAAGTCATAACATGGGATGAAAATCCGTGTTTTGCAATATTTGAAGCTGCCGCTAGTGCAACCTGATCGCAGATAATCGGATATAGAGGACATACTTTTCCAAAGAATCCCTCGACATAGCCTACGAGCTGTTCTAACAAAGGAAATCGGTAGCATCGAAGCACATCCAGAAGGGGGTCTGAGCTTTTCTGATTCGGCAAATTCAACGATCTGAGCTGGTTTCCAGATGATCTCTTTTTTCGTTCAAAGGCGGCGGAGTCTTTTTCTCTAGTAACTGTGGCATCTGATTTTCTAGATTCTTCCAAGCGTTGCAAGATCCGAAGAATATTGTTGACGGACTGCTCAACAACTTCCAAGCGCCCACCAAAGGAAGACTCGCTAGAAGAGGTCCTAGAAATTGACGGATTAACTTGTGAGAATACTGAAGATTTTAACTAAGAGTATTCATTCACCTACAAAGAATCTTGACGAAGTCGGTAGTCGCATCGAAAGCCATTCTTTGTACAGAATGCGCATTTTGGTTTTGCTTCACTACATCGGACCTTCTTCAAACGACATGTTTGACAAGCCTGTTTTTTATGCTTTAGTACTTTACAGCTTTTAGTTGAAATAGATGAGAGTGGTACTAACTGAAGAGGCGCGTGAGACCCTGTGAGGATATGTTGTGGCAGCAATAGGCCTCATGAAAGGGTCGTGGTCTGAATATGGCATTGTATAATTATAGTTATAAATATATGGAATGTAAAATTTATTGACACAATGCCGGAGATGCAAAAAAGATCAAAATCACTGAGGTTGAGACTTGTACAAGGCTCATGTCACGTCATCTGTACTAGTTGCGTGCAATTGGAATTATTTCCTGTATCCAACGGCCTTTGCTCTGAGCTTGATACATCTATTTATTGTGATTCGCTACACACGGAACATCCGGCTTGCGATGCCTTCACCTGAATCACGCCATCAAGAGAGGTTGAGCAAGGTACAAGAGGCCATAAACAGTTATCGGAAAGACCCGACATCCTGATTGCGATTAGGATAAAGTACCAGATAATCTATATTATTTATTGTGTCTCCTATGTTCAATAGTTGTTCTAATCTAGAAATCTTCTTTTCCTGGTCTATACCCATGGCGAATTCCACCACCTCAAAGCTTCGAGTAGCAATTATCGGCGCTGGTCCTGCTGGACTCGGAGCTGCCATTGAATTTGCAAAACTTCCTTTTGTAGATCTCAGGATCTATGAGCAAGCTCGTGAGCTACGTGAAGTCGGCACTGGCATTAGTCTGCAGAGAAATACATGGCGACTATTAGATGTGTTTGGCGTGCTGGAAAACATCAATCCAAGTGACTTTTTTCGATCGGCAGATGGACACTCCGTGCAGCATAGAAATGGGCGGACTGGGGATCTCCTTCTTTCCAATGGACAGAAAGGTGAGAACTTGATATTCTCATAGCCTTCGGCCAAACATTGACTGTTCTACTAGACACGCCTCCGCGACACAAGCACGCACGAGCTCTACGAACCGTACTCCAACGAGGCTTACTAGATGGGGTAGATGCCTCCCTCTTGAGGCTTTCCAGTCGACTTATAGAGATAATTGAACTCCCCAATGGAGCGCTGTCACTCCGATTTGAAGATGGCCGCACTGACGAGGTCGATCTGCTTGTGGGCGCAGATGGTGTTCGGTCGGTAAGAAACAGCATATTGTGCTCTATGTACGATATTTCAAACTGATCTTTACAAGGTCGTCCGGAGCTTTGCGTTTCCCGATCATCATATCGGCTACACAGGCCGTGCAGCTTACCGAGCCCTGGTGGATGCTGACAAGATCCTTCGTATTCCCAACTTTCCAGATGCAGTAACATTTTGGCATGGCCCCAAGGATTGGGTATATACTTGCAATCTTAACAATAATATTTACGAGGTAACAACGATGGCAGAAGTCTCTGGAGAAATTGCGAAAGTGAGCTGGGGTGAGGATGCAACTCTGGAAGAGTTCCGAAAGCCATACAGGGTAAGCAAGATGACCTATCCGCGTCATTGCTTATTTTCTAACTCAAGCCTATTAGGAATTTGCACCTATTGTACAGGCAGTTCTAGACGAAGTGAAGGAAGTTAAGAGATTTGCCTTATTTGCTGGACCGCGACTCTCCACTGTGATCTCCCGTGGATCCATTGCATTGATCGGAGATGCTTCGCATCGTGAGTTTTCTTGTCCAAATAGGCAAAAAAGAATTATCACTAACTAGGTTACAGCGTTATCTGGTGCTTTTGGTAAGATATGTCATTTTTAGGCTTGATATAAAACCATCTAACAAATAATCAGGTGCTGGAGCTGGCTTCGCCCTGGAAGATGTTTTTGTCCTTACGCAGAGCGTGAAATGGGCATATGAGAGGGATCTTCCCGTGGGACAGGGGCTGCAGCTTTTTGATAACGTTCGATCGCCGCACTATGAACAGCTGGTATGTTGCCACTTCTATGGTCACAGAAGACCATGACTCATTCTCTCCTAGTATGGCATCCTGGACGAGTTTGCCAAATCTGACGCCACAATCGGAGTTCCCATCACATTTGACGATGCTGTGGCAAGGACCGTATCTGATAAATGGAGCGAAGACCACCACTGGCTGTATCATTACGATGTAAGTTTTTGTTCTCCCCAAATAAACAAAGTATATTGACGAGAGGCAAACCAGGTACAGGAGGTATGGAAGGAAGCTTACAAGGCAGAGGACGCCCGCATCCAGCAGGAGGATTCAAAGAAATCTGTAAGCTCTCGCCTCTGATAGATCACATATATTCCGTACAAATCAAATCAATTTGGTCATATTGTCATTCTTAATTGGTAAACGGTAAACGGTAAACGGTAAACGTCAAGAATGTCTTCTAGAATTCAGAACTTGCTCATAGGCAAATAAACTACAGCAATTGGTACCAATATGTTTCTCAACTCTATCAATTTTGGCCAAACTCTCATACTTTCGCAATCTCCACGAGATATTATTAAGCGCTATCGTGGGTGGTGAAGCCGATTTAATCGTAGCCATCCCCCATCGCGATGGCGTCAATTCCCTGTCGCCGGCTTTTCCGTGTGCAGCCAATCAATACTCTTCGGCTCGTCCCTCCGGTTCTTGTCATTCTCCACAATTCGTGCATTGGTATTACTTGTTTCCCCGTGCGCATTGATCTATGAGCTCCACGTGGATATAGTTGTGGGATCGATCGTTTATAAAGCCGAGTAGCACCAGCCCAATATGCATTACAGGAATCTTTGGTCTACCAAGCTCAAAACATGTCTTCCCACTTGCAGAGAATTAGATTACATCCATGGTATGTGTTCAAAATTTCTACTCAGTGCTTCTTCGAGCTCTTTGTCTAATACTATCGGCAAATAGGTATAGTGTCGCTATCGTGGCCTGGACGGCCTTTTGTCACCCGGGAATGTTTGGAGCATTGAATGTAAGTAAATTTAATATACCTTCTGAGTTCTAGCTAATATTTCTCTCTATAGGGCCTAGGGGTTAGACTTTCATACTTTAGGATCATTCTCTATCTTGGCTAACATCGAACACAAAGGCTGCCGGAGAAGAAACAGCATCCTTATCAAATGTTGTGAATGCGGTGACATTCGGTGCTCTCACTGTTGGTGGGTTCTTTACCGGTATTATCTGCAACAAGATCGGTACCAGATGGACGCTTGCTCTTGGGACATTGGGTTATGCTCCTTATGCAGGTTAGTGGCAGGAATCCCAATATTTTCTATTCTAGCTCATGTACTGATCAAGCGCAGCGGCTTTATATACGAACGCAGCATTTGGCAATAAGCAAGTTTTTCTACACTCTTGAAACCGTTCTTGGAAGAATTATCTAACATAACAGAATAGGTGGTTTCCCATTCTTGGTGGGTTAACCTGTGGCACCAGTGCTGTATTTTTGTGGACGGCGTCCGGAGCCATCAATCTCGTGTGTATGTTTTGCTTCCTCCTGCTTTGCTCCTGGCACATATTTAACACGTTTTAAGATCCTTCTGTCCAGGAGCGTGGCCGAGCAGTGGCTACCAAATTCACTCTTCAGAATTTTGCTTCGTCTTTGGGGGGTATGATATCTCTCGGCCTCAATATCCGCCAATCTCAAGCCGGCCGAGTTTCAGATTGTAAGCTTAACCTGAGCAGTATATAAAAACAAGCACCTTGACTAACCGTCATAAAGCAACATTCTTCGTTTTCATATCGATCATGGCACTTGGACTGCCCGCAGCAGTGACCATCCCTCGCCCAAATCAAGTCATCCGCGGAGATGGCTCCCGCGTGAGCGCTCATCGGTTTCAATCGTGGAAAGAAGAGCTTGCAGGACTTCGTCGAACATTGGGGCTGAAGAGCTTCCATATCCTCTTTCCATTTTTGATCTATTGGGTTGGTCTCTTCGTCTTTTCCTCATAGATTCAATCGAGCTAACAGCCACCAGCAATGGGATCTATCCTACATGTGGAGTTGGAATGCACAGTACCACAGCGTCCGCACCCGTGCTCTTCTTAGCACGCTTTTCTACCTCGGTAAGTGGCTACCATGGCCCAGCAGTAAAATCAGTTGCGCATCTAACAAGGATAATAACAGTCGGACCAACCTTCATTGGGCCTATTCAAGGCTATCTTCTTGATAACGCCAAATGGAGCCGTAAAACGCGTGCTCGGGTGGCTGTTGTCAGCTTTACGATTCTAACACTTTTGACATGTGAGAAAAACATTTTGTATTTTTTTCTTCATCTTTGTTCTTTGCTAATTTGTCTAATTCAGGGATCTACGGTCTTGTCGTCCAATACCAGTACGATAAACAGACTACAATCATAGACATCAAGGACCCGGTGTTTATCAAATCATGCCTGCTCTTTATCTTATACGGACTAATTGAGAACTCTGCAATGGTCACTGGTTATTGGATTATTGGTGAGTAGACATAATTTCACTCAGAAGCAAACCCCGAACTTATTCTAATCGATTGTTTTAGGATCCCTTGGCCTTGACCCCGGTAGTGTTGCTACCTTCGTTGGACTTGCGTAAGTGGACATGCATGAAAACAAAGAGATATCTATCCATGACAAGATAGCTAATTATAGATTCATGCAGAACGGCCATTGGCTCAGCCGGATCAACAGCAGCATTTATTCTCGGGGCATGTAATGTCTCTTTGATCTGGCAACTTTGGGCGAATGTTATAACGTTCCTTATTAGCGTTCCTGGACTACTATACACGGGCTTTAAGCTTGTTACTGAGGATGCGGTTATTGATGCAGCGACCACGCAAGTGGACTGGATTGATACCGCAGAAACGAATGAGGCTATCTCTTCTCGTGAGAAAGGCAATGTACACTCGGTTACGGAGGCTTCTCTTAGTACCGAGTGAGATGATACTTCTGTTCAGGCATATCGTGAGATGGCTGATGATAACTTTTTAATCTCCGAGAAGGAATTGCCGAGATAGAATATGCGAAACCAGGGTATAAACTAAGCACGAACAAGAGCCCTGGAGTATACTAGCTAGCCCAGAGCAATTCATTTTGGAGAGTCTAAGTTCGGCATTATTAGAAATATCTCTACCCTAAAATACACGACCATCATAGTACTAAGGACCTGAGTTCGCAGTTATGACGGTATGAATGGAGAATGGGCTTTAGGTTGCGCAGCCTATTCTTGTTCACGTTATGAGTACGAAATACAGCCTACTAAAGATTTACTTAGGAACCTGGGTTGGTCTTAAGCCTTAGCCAGATTGATTGAAACATCCGTCTCAAGTTAAAATATTATATAAAACACACTCCAAGTACTCGATTGGAGTAGATGGAATAATAATATCGAAGTTGGGCGTGCCTTCATGCCGATCTAGGTAATTTAGGTCATCGAAGAGCACTTATACACCCCGGATTATGTCAACTAGCAATGCAGGGTTATCGCTCTGAGAGCCCTGCCAAGATATGTATTGATCGGGTCTGATGATGGTAATCTCTGCCGCATACTTTGCCCGAGCAACGGCAGCAGACAATTGAAGTCTTTTTAGCGGTAATCCGACTCGATCAGCAGCGGCGAGAATTTCTTGAACGTTCTTCTCGACTGCCTCCACATCTATGAGTGTGAACTCTTCCCCGAGGTGATCTAACAAAGGCGAGCCATCCGGCAGCCAGACATGCGGTGCGCGATGACCAGGTGTTGCATGAGACCAAATCTTTGTACCGTCATAAGGTTCACTTGGTTGGCTGTCGCGAACAATGACTGGTGACCGGTCGTAGCGTTGATCAAGTGCAACTCCAACGATGTTCCACTCTGGGTAAGTCAGGTCATACGCAAGTTGGCCCCGTTGCAATCGTTCTCCCTCACTTGCGTCCTCCAATGAGGGTAGTCCCTCAACTATCTCTGCGACCTTTTTCAGGTCATAGCTGTTCTTCATAGCCGCATCAGAAACAAGCTCGCCCACGGGCCGACGCTCAAGGTCATAAGACTCCAGCAGTTTTTGTCCTCCCCAGCCTTTCAGGACAGCAGCAAGCTTCCACCCGAGATTAACTGCATCTCCGATGCCGGCATTCATGTTGTGCCCTCCAGTCGGAGGACAAAGATGAGATGCATCGCCAGCGATCAGGAGCCGGCCATTTTGATACGACTCACTCACTCTTGTGAATACCTTATAAGAAGATCGACTAACAATTTTCAAGTTCGTTTTCACTCCCAAGATTTCTCGACCGATTGACAGGATCTCTTCTTCGGTGAGGGTCTTCCCGTCAGGCACGGTGATGCTGTATCCCCAATCGTCCTTCCCGGGGATACTTATAATCGAGGACACGCGGGGGCTCAGTACGAAGAGCATTCCTAGAGCATCATGGGCAGGTGAGTTAATCAAATCACTGATTCGATAACCTTCTGCTCGCACCACAAAGCTCAATGTCTGCCCAATGGGTTCCACGCCCTTCTGCTGAATCCCTGCAGATTTCCGGACCAAGCTACCGGGACCATCACATCCGATGGCATACGCGGAAGTGATTGAATGAACTTCACCACTGGGAGATTGGATCTCAGCTATGACTCGATCCTCGTCTTGTCGGACTGAAAGTACTTTCCAACCTCGCAAGATGGAAGCCCCCAGTTCAAGTGCGCGAGCTTGCAAAAACTTCATGGTGACAGGTTGTGGCACACTGAACGATGGTTCGGCTGCCAGATCGTTTGATTCCTCCACATCTCTGCCATACAGAAGCGGGAAAGAACCGAGTGGCTTTTGAATCAAGGATTCTGTGATGACTAGCCGCTGCTTGGGATTTGCTGGCTGCCAGGAAAACTTGCGCAGCTTATCACTAACGCCCCAGCGGCGATAGTGCTCGACGGTACGAAGATCATTCGAGCGACCTTTGGGGTGTCCGTCCACAATTTCGAGGTCTTTTTCGATGACTGCAGCCTCGATACCGTGAAGCCGCAGCTCGATAGCTAGGGAAAGGCCAATAGGACCGGCACCCACTATCAACACGGGGATAGAATCTGGGAGGAGGTCTGATGCCTTTGTTACTGTCATTTCAGGAATTGAGTACGGCGTATGCAGCATCTGGAAGAGCGGGCCATTCCGAAGGTAAATACTTCGAAATACTCGTAGGTGACATGTTCCCATTCTCTTCTCGTATTACGCCATTTCCTTAAACATATATATTAACCTTTCTCAATAGCCTGGGCTTTAATTGGAGGGCTTATATCATTTTCCAAGCTTTTCGCTAATCGAAGTGGATCGAACTTTAACGCATGGACCCAGAGACCCTTTGTTTCCTTTCCGTATAGTTCATTGTGATTTCATGCCTTTTTTTGAATTGTTTGCTTTTAGTTTCTTTAGCTTGTTGGTAAAGCCCTAAATATCTCGTGTTTTTAATAGACCCAGCATAGACTTGCCACGGACCTCGAGCGACGCCGACAGGAACAACTATGGAAAGTAGATCGCGATAATAAGATAACGAAATAAGCCTTTGCAATTCATATGTAGAAGCCAGCATAATTATAGGAGTGACGAACTTGAATTTTCTCAAACACAGCAAAAGCAATCGAGTATAGACCGAAAAAGCTATGCAATGTGTCTATATGGTCTTCATTCATGGCAGCTTCCCCGCTCCGAAAGCCGGGAAGTTCTATATCGCCGAGATTAGAATCCCTGCCATTGCAGGTTCTCTGTCAGATCACGTCTTATTTGGCGATAATTAATGCATCTTGCGCAACAAGAGAGACGTGAGTTGTTTTTCGAAACCAGACTCATGGAAAGGTAGAAATCTTTTGCAATGATTCAATTTCCCAATGCGGAGTTGGTCGCTTAACCCGACTACAGCGACGAACCAAGCGTTGTGTACCAAGTCGTGCTCGGGTAAATCGGATCCCCTAATGAGGTGATCATCGGGGATTAAGCAGTTCCCCGTAAGAGGTGCCAAAACCCGAGACGCGGTAAGATAGCAGTTATAGCAATCATTTGAATTCTGATTGCACAATGAGAATTATAAGCTTTAAGGTCAAGCTCGTTGCAGTCTAGCTGAGGGCTGCAGTCCAATCAATACGATCGCCCCATTGCGATAGACATGTCGCGATCCAGGCTCGGTATACAAGCTCTAACTACAAAAGCCGGGCGATGTAAACATTGGCCTCTCTAATCAATTAATATCAATCAATATCAATCATGTCGGAGACAACTAAAAGTCCAGAGATCGACACAGCAATCGCTACAAACCACGACTCAGATGGATCAATCGACCTGAGAGCGGAACTGATCAATCTTTCTGAGATTGATGCCGTTCTCGCGAAGAAAATGGCGTTGGTAAACGCTGCTATTGATGAGATTGGCATGACTCCATTTCAATGGAAACTGTTTTTCTTAAATGGATTTGGATATGCTGTGGATTCTGTAAGTATCAATCTAAACTGCCACCGGGATGAAGCCATCTAATGTTGCGCGATAGCTTCTGGTAGTTTGTCAAAATATCGCGCAGACTGCTGTGAATCAGGAGTATCGCAGCCCTAATGAGAGACTACAAGGCATTTCACTAGCATCCCAGGTTGGATTGCTCGTGGGTGCTGCTGTCTGGGGATTTTCTGCCGATGTGGTTGGCCGCAAGCTTGCATTCAATACCAGCCTGTTTATCAGTGCTATATTTGTTTTGATTGCTGGTGCAATGCCCACTTACGTCTCCTTCTCTGCTATGTGAGTGTGATTTCAGTGTTTAAGATGAGGATACAAAAGAATACTAACACAGACCAGGGTTGCTATATATTCCGCCAGAGCCGGCGGCAATTACATCCTCGATGCAACCAACTTTCTTGAGTTCCTTCCAGCACGCAAGACTTGGCTTGTTACTGCCTTGGCAGGATGGTGGGCAGTCGGATATACGATCACCGGCTTATTCGCATGGGGGTTCATGAGCAACTACAGCTGCGATCCAGATGCTACAATGGAAACATGCCACCGTGCCCAGAACATGGGGTGGAGGTATCTCCATTTCACATCCGGTGCACTGGTCATCGTAATGAGCGTGATTCGAGTCTTTGTTGTCCGGATGGTGCATACACCAAAGTGGCTCATTAGCCAGAATCGCGACGAAGAGGTGTATCAGATTCTTTTGGAGTTATCTGAGAAATACGATCGACCTTTGAACCTTTCGCTCGAGCAGCTGAAAGCACAGGGACAAGTTATCAACACGGAAAAATCAGTTTGGTCCAAGGTTCGACTTGTCAGTCACTTCTCAGGTCTTTTCAGCACTCGCAAAATGGGCTACTCCACTGTCATGATCATCTTGAATTGGCTGCTTATTGGAACCGTCTCACCTCTATACGGTTTATTCTTGCCATTCTACCTGAAACTCAAAGGATCTGAGACTGGAGATGACTCAAACTATACTACCTGGAGAAACTACGCCATCACGCAAGCTGCCGGACTTATCGGCCCTCTAATTGCCGGATTTTTGGTGGAAATGCGCTGGTTTGGCCGGAGAGGAACACTGGCCGTCGGTGCTGCCTTGACAACAGCGCTTCAGCTGGGCTACACGCAAGTTAAGACCCCAGCACAGAATCTGGGAGTATCAGCGGCTATTGGAGCTGCTTCTAATATCTACTATGCCACTATTTATGCTTATACGCCCGAAATTCTGCCTGCCGCTCACCGGGCGACTGGGTATGCTGTTTGTGTGGTGATGAATCGGATTGGCGGCATTGTAGGCGTGCTGGTTGGCAGTTACGCAGATGTTAATACTGTTGCTCCGCTGTGGGTATGTGCTGGGCTTTTTGGTGGACTGATTATTACGAGCCTATTGCTACCCTTCGAGAGCCGCGGGAAGAGGACAGTGTAGATGTGGGATTTCGACTCACTCTGGGAACGAGAGAAATGGAACAGGCTTAGCGTAGATCATTGATTATATAAGGATCGAAAAAGCTGCTGTAGTTAAAGCCCAGTACAGTGTAACTATTTGGAATTGATTATGTCTAACTGGCGATTGTCGGATATAACCAGCTTCATAGCTCCTGTACTAAAAGGGCAAAAATGCCTAAACTCTTGGCGAAACATGTAACTTCGATGAAGAGTGATCGCATTGGTCTTTGTCGTTATATTGAACAGAATATACATTGGATCATGAGTGTGGCCTTTCAACTGCTGGCTGGTCACATCTTGAAGGCCCTGTCTTTCATCACCCCAAGCAACTTAGAGAAACATAAAACTTGTAGGAAATAGCTCAATCGACAAGAAGATTTGAGGCATTCACATCAGCCTATGTCTCCTGGTTATAGATATCGTTATATTTAGACAATGATTGCCGCAGAAGCAAATCCGCTTCAACGCCTTGGAAGCGTGCAGGATTCAGGGCGTCCAGGAGAACCTTGTCTTCTAAATTTGTCGAATTCTCATCATCGCCAAGAATCTCTCTTGCCAATAGCTTAGCAGTACCAGCAGCAGTTGTAACCCAAATGGCGGCGGCAAGCCATAGATTTGCAACATCAGGAACCCGACCAGCGAGGGGCAAGTTGTCAGGCGTGACAGAAAATATACCATTGAATGGCTTTTCCGCTACCCAAGGCTCTTCCGAGTTCGTGTTCTGTCCCTGGACCTGGAACTCAGCTCCGTTCTTCAAGTTCGAAGAGGCGTCTAACAGCACTTGATCGAAGCTTGGTGGCCAAGCCCCAATCGCACTTTCAATGGGATCAAGCTGCATCGGGGGATGATCATAACTGCCTAGACCATCCCGTTCTCCGTGGTCCCTTGCATAGGCGTGGTGGTCCAGCCAGCGAACGAATGGGTACGGGGTACCAACACGTCTAGCCCGAGGCGGTGTGAAGGTGTAAGGGTGTGCGACGGGGACAATAGGGATCGGAAGTTGCGTGATAGGGATGTTGTCGCTGCGAATCAAGGAAGATGTCCAAATGCCAGTGGCGAGAATCACAGTACTTCCTTCCGAGTTGATATCTCCACTAGCAGTCTTAATAGTCGCTATTTTCGATGTTTGGTTGTCCTTCTTAGTCGCAAAGCCCGTCACGGCAGCTTCTAAGAAATCCACCCCTCTGGCGCGAGCTTGGTCAACATAGTAAGAAGTAATGACGCCTGCATTTGCGGTTCCATCTGAGGGGAAATGGAGACAGTGCTTAATCGAGTCGGCATCGATAAAGTCCGGGGCAAGAGAAGCGGCCGCCTCTGGAGTGAGAAGCTCCGCAGGTAGACCAGCACCCTGTGCTGTTTTCTGTCGGTGCTCCAACATCCCCAAGCCAGAAGCCGTAGAGGAAAGTTCCAATCCACCGACCGTTTCAAAGCCGCCTGGGATTGTGAGGTAGTCCTGGACGGTGTCTTTGGCCAACCGAGTCAAGACAGGGGACTCATTGAGTTGGCCAACGAATCCTGGAGCATGACCAGTGGAGCCCAATAGCGTTTCTAGGCTTTTGTCGATGAGTATAATATGATTTTCACTTTTGCCCTTAGAAAGATGGAACGCAAGCGCTGCGCCGACGATGCCTCCCCCAACGATAATGATCCGGTGAGGAGAGGGATTGTTATTCAATTGCGCAATATTTAACGTGGAAGGCATCCTGAAATCGTGTCCTTTGAATTTTTTAGACTGATTTAAAATATGTGAGTACTCTGAAAGAGGCGTTGAAGCCATCTTAACTGTATAGGTAACGCTATCCTAGCCCGATGTCGGCATACTTGCCCCCCCATGTATCCGTCTCTAGCCGCGAATTTTGCAAAATCACTGTTTCAACCGCTCAAGATTGCTTAAATAGCATAAGCCAAGTATATTTAGAGTGAATTAGGTCCGCCCAAATCTCCTTGGCGTTGAACGATGACTCATTTGTCATGGTCGACAGGCCACGTTGTCTCGGATTTCCGTACCAACTTCGTATGAGAAATCAATAGTCTCTGAGAGATTGCTAGAGCTTTGCCAAGGAAGGGACTAACGATCGAGGTTAAGGTATTTAAGGAGAGTGAGGCCGGAATTCTCCAACATATGGCCAGAAGCTGATCAACAAAGAAAGTATTCCATTTCTAGTATCTACTGCCATTGGCTTCATTGCCTTTCGGAAAACTGCCCCTACAGATTTTGACAGATTTCCAATCTCGGCCTCGGCATTATTGAATGATTGATTAGCTTTCAAAAGTATCCAATTATTCACTACTTAGATCTCCTCGGTAACATTTAGAGCCAGGTTCGTGCATCCCGTAGGGACGGTTATCCAAGCCGCATCCGCATCCGAAGCCGATTCGCTATAGTTGTAACCACCGTTGAAGGCCATGATCTGTCCAACAGTAGTGTCAAACATCTCCGCAATATCCTTGTAAACACCGTAGGTGAAATGGAACGGTGTAACATGGCAGACACTAGGAACACATTGAGGAATCTTGAGGAAAGTGTTGACGGGAAGTTCCTCATGGATAGACGAAACACCCATCTTGGCATTCTCGTAGACCGACTCGACGGTCATGTTTAACTTGTACAAAGCAATTTTCTCAATGGTGTCACCTGCAATGGTTCTGTAGTCATGCGGGCCACCTTTGAGACAAGTAGCGGTGGCATTTTGCCGAGTCAAAAAACAGGTTGTGCTGTCTGGATTGCAGACCTGGGGCGGAATTCGGAGAGTGAAATTGGCAAAAATATGCTCAGCGTCGATCATCCGGTTGTACCGGGCGATATCGCAGGGGCCACGATCGAACTTCCTAGCAACGGTAAAGATGGTGTCTTCGGAAGTGGTGGTATAGGTAGTGGCGGTGGTGTTGAGCGAAGAGTTGTCACATGTATTCCGATTGGCATGAGGAACAGCGGCAGCGGTCGCTGCGAGGCCGGAAAGAGCGTATTTCAGAGATAGGAAGACCATTGTGGCCAAAGATTTTATCTATACTTGAAAGGAATGGAGAGCTTGAGCGGAAGGGGAAGCAGTGAATCTCAGTTGTATATGCTCGTTATATAGCCCCGAGAAGGGGTCATAACTCCGAAAAGATCAAGATAAAAAAGCCAAGCTCCGCTGATCTGCCCGCAATTCGTAATTTGCGACTCCGAATAAGGTGGAGCATGGGTTTGGTAGATACCCCTTGTCTCATCAAAGGCAATTGATAGTGATACATGTGAGAGAGATAATGACAATCTAGACCTTCCACTATTGGCTCGCAACCCCTAGCGGAAGACCGGTTCTACAGGATGCTCAGCGATGATCATGCGGAAAGAGCTTGGATTGGATGCGATTGTGCGCTAGTACCTGCGCCGTTAGATTTTTGCGTCATGTTTCTCATATGGTGTGCATTCTAGACCTCGCCGATTTCACTTTTCGACCAGGGCATGATCCTAGTCAAGTCAGAATCTACAATACGTCTCACTTTCATCTGTTCCTCTTTCGATAAGAGAAGCTTCGGCGTAGTGTAAGTCCGAGAAATAACTTAGGGGCAAAAATCGATCTCGATGGGCATCAGCAAGCCCCACGCTTGTTAACACGATACAAAAGTTATCTTCGAGATAGCTTTGACTTCCACAATGAACTTTGAAGACTGACTGAGGCATCCTGGTCACGGTAGTACTTGCATGAAACGGCCTAAGCACAAGTCACAATGTGAACACATACATCTCTGGACGGAGGGATAAAGAATTAATTGCTCCAATAAACGCCGCCGTTGCTGAATTAGCTTCAAGGTCAAGTCTTAGTATCTCGGGGTCGGCTCTGGATACCCAAATAGGAAATAATCGGCTTTACACTGATATGTAATCCAGTTTCTGCGCCAGAATCTTTGAATTTGCGTGAGATAAGAAGGGGAGTTCAAACCTGAAAGTGAAGGCTTGCGCACCGTCGACACTTTTGGGGCAATATATTAAGTACTGGGAATGCGAGATGAGTTTCTAGCAGAAGGGAGAGTAAATGGGGTGCGGTGCGGCGCACCCCATAGATCATGACGGAGTAGCAACTCCACCGCAAATTATTAATGCTATTGATTTGTCGTCTGCCATACTGGCTTTTATGGATTTGTAAGGACCAAGATGGTAGATCTATTTTGTTATGTAGCCGTTCCACGTAGTACCTCTTTTCCTTGTCTTTGAGATGATTCTAGGGGTCCTTATTCTCCTAGCTTGCCTTCGATGGTCTATGTTAGGAATCAGTAACCGGCACTCTTTCATTTGACTATCCGCGTCCAAGGGTTTGCAACTTGATTACTGGTCGGCCCGGTCCGACCTCGGGAGTAATCTGCCGAGGTTTGCCCATTGGCCATGGAGCTCTTCGATTTTCCTCGACAAATGAGATAAATACCTTAGATTAAAAAGAATTTTATTAAATTAAGGTAGAATATGTTAATATATTGTGGAATTGACAAATATAATGGTTAGCTTAGTAACGTATCAACGAGTTCTTGATGGAGGAATTCAGCTCGAAGGGCATTTTCAAAACATGAAGCAAGCATAGCTCAACCACAGCTCTTTGTGGCAATGGTTTCCGGACGTAACGTTCCCGGTACATTGCAATGAATGTCTGGAAATTGCAGTCGTCTTCAATGGCCTCCATTCGATTGGCTAAGTCGATGCACAGGTTATGAGCATCGCCTGGAAGATACTCGCTGGCCATTGGAGAGATCGATCTTACAAACCGAGGCATAAAGGCTTGCATCATAACGGCTAAGTATTCTCTGTCATCAGATATGCAGGGGCGGAGGTCATCTCTTCCTAGGACTAAAACTGCGCTAGAAGGACTGTCAGGTCTATCAAATATACTTAAGGATATAGACTTACACATAAAGAAATGGATCAGGTGCTTGAAGCCCGACCCCTATTAAGTGACTTCTCATTAGTAGTATTAGTAACTATCGTACAGAGCATATAGCAAAACTCACCTAGGAACTTCAGCCACAACAAGAGAAGGTACCGAGACATTTTTCAATAGTCTTTCAACCAATGGCTTTGCTGGAAGAGGCGTTTCGTATTGACCGTCTATGCTATTGTATATTCCATCGCTGAACTGGTATGGCGACGAACTATTTTCGAATTTTTCGCCGAATAAGCTTGATTTATTAGAAATACCCTTCGAAGGTTAAGAGAAGCAGGCAAACATTGCCTACATTTGACCTTGTCCGGTGAGCACCACAATTTTGGCGTCGACAGACATCTGAGGTGGAATCGGTATGTCTCCATGGTTTCCGTGGAAGAAAAAATAGCGTAAAGACCCTTGGCTGTATTGTGAATGCATCATATTGTGTGATCCAACTTTTCAGTACCGTTTCCAGAAAGTGTGTCAAAGCCAAAAGGGGGCAGCTCGGGAGATCCGGTGACAGAACTAGGCGAGTGGGTTCCGCTAATCCGAGCTATTACTCAGACGACAACATATTCAGACACGGAGGTCGTCATCAGATTTCTCTACGCTCTACGTTATAACAAATTCGTGGATATGCCCCTTAGAGTGACTAACTATAATAATGTACAGTTAATCTATAACATATAACATGCTTTTACATGCTCATTGCGCGATATCAACGTTTGAATCCAACTGGGGCGTTAATCGCTTTTAGGGGGGGCGGAACCCGGATGTACCTGAGACGATGACGTATTGGGTGGGACTTTGCCGATATTCTGAACTGGGCGTGATAAATATATATTTGAAAAGATAGTTGAGCTACAAATTTCATCGATCATGCAATGTTATTCTTTCATAGTTTGCTTTAGAAAAATAAAACACTGCACTTGTTCTAAAACCAAATCATTTAATATTTTCAACCCGAGGGTTGTCTAGTTAATACCCGCCAGCTTTAATCATAATAGGTATAGATAGGATAATAGATCAAGTCTGCCTAGTATATAAATACACACTATATAAGTGGCATTCTATCACGGACTACAGCAGAGTTGGCATCTAGGCTAGGCACAAATAAAGAACCCCCATAATCCTGAAACATTTCCGGTAACATCTCTAGGACTTGATTCAAAACGCGCGAGTGGACCACCTCCCTCCGCCCCAAGACACTTCAAAAGACATCAACAAAGCATCTAAAAACATTTGGTCGACTGGAGGTCCACCCGAAAAGATAGAAATCGGCAGCAATTCAATGCTGAGAACAACAGGCACATTCTCATTACGGTGTTAAAATTCGATATTTCAGGCCGTGGCAGGCATTATTCGCATAAAATGAAATTATATTCTTTTACCAGATCTATTCCAACTGTGAAAACACAGTCTCAAAGGCCGCCAAAAGAGGAGCGATGTGCGATTCCTGGAAGATCAGCATGGGGCGCAACCGAACAGTTTGAACACCACAACTCCCAATATTGATGCCCAACTCGCGCATTTTCTTCAGCAGAGTGCTTGAGTCAGGCGTGTCAAATGCAATATATGTCCCCTTATTCTTGCCACGGAGACTCTGGATCTGGTGGGGATACTTGGCCGCCAAGGTAGCCAGGCTATTGTAGAGAACTGCGCCAACTTGAGCCTGTTGGAGAAAATATAATGTTAGACAAAGGCCTTTACGAAATAGGAATAATAAGGCCTACCGTCTTTTCGACCAGCTTCTTGTTGAGAATCTCGTCGATGACAGCATTGCAGATGATGATTCGTGCGGCATCTCCCATCCATCTGGTCAGCTGGTTAGCCTAGCTTACTCTCAACAATGATCATGGGATATTTGAATTCGAGTTGTCTTACGTGTTGAATTGCCGATAGGCCTTGTCGGGGCGAAGCTTCTCATCGCTGAAGAAGTATCCAGCGGTTTGGGCTTTCTTTGAGAAGGTTACAATATCCACGGGGAAGGGTAGCGCCCAGTGCTCATGGGCCCAGAATTTTCCTGTTGCCCCAAAGCCGGTCTGGACCTCGTCGACAATCAATGTAATCCCATGTGTCTTGGTTATGGCCTGGAGCTTCTGGAAGAAGGCTGGCGAGGCATGGTTGTCACCACCTTCGCTTTGAATTGGCTCAACAATAATACCAGCCACGGGACAGTGCCATGAGGAAATGATGCTTCTAACTTCTTGCAGGCAAATCTCCTCTTCTTGTGCGTTCTCTTCGATATGGGCTTCCAGAGGATATTTAAGCTGGGGGAAAGCGGCCTGCGGCCATTTGAAAGCGGGAATGTCTACCTTGTGTATAGGCTTAGAGCGGGTGGTGGACAAACTGCCAAAGCTGCGACCATGGAAGGAATTACGGAAGCTGAGTATAGCCAGATCGGGGGAACCGGGAGCTTGGTTTTTCATCGCTGTCGCCTGCTCATACTCAGTCCAAGGGCTGCCAGCTCGCTGCTGCCGACGATAGCCCATGAAAGCCGCCTTGAAGGCCAGATCATTAGCCTCGGATCCAGACTGTGCTGGGAACACTTGCGTGCACCCCGGAGGAGCTGCCCGCATCAGACCTTCGCGTAACAGGGCAAGCCATTGGTGCGAAGGGAAATTTCCAACAGCTGGGCGGTTGACCAAGGCAGAGACAATTTCAGGTGATGTTGCGGCCTTAATCAATGTGGGATTGTTGTATCCGACGGGAATAGAGGCGATCTGGGTATACACGTCGAGGTATGTGTTGCCGTCAACATCAGTGATGCTAGAAGGAAACCGTCAGGGAATGCGCTAAGAGGGCCGAAGTAGGTAGGTTAATGACATACTAGTTTCCAATGCTCTGGTCATAATCAATGACCATCTGCACAGTGCGGGCATCAATGACGGTATCTAATTCCTCTTTGATCCCGTGCGTGGCAGGTCCGGGGACTGCTGTGCGGATTGAGGGCGCGAATGGTTCAGATACAACATGCATGACGAAAAAGAAAAGGAAAGAAGTGAAGTGACCACAAAAAGATAACAGAGATCGGATATAGATATCGTCGGGAATGAATAGACATGAGTGCAGTAACTCGATGCGTTTATATGCGCCTTGATGCACATGGCAAATTGACTCGGACCGGGTAGACAGCCAGAATGCCGGTTGAAAGGAAGGAAAAAGAAGAGAACCGGTTACTGTACAGGTATCCACGAAGATCAAGTAGTATTAGTGCTTGGGATGAGTGAAAACCTTCGGTTTAAATTTTTGTAAAATATGTGTGCGCATATAGATGGCCGGGTGATGGCACCCGGGAACTTTATCCATGTCAGCATAACCGCACATATTGTCATTTCACTATAATGATACTAGCGCGTTGCATTTTCTCTGAATCTATTCCTCTTATCTAACTTCAATGCTATCAAAACCCAAACTCCCGGGTTCTGTTGCTTGAAGAGGGTGGAATTGGCACCATCGCCGCCCTCAATTTTGAGCACAGGAAACTCGCCGAGGTACCCCACGTACTACATTCAACGTATGTTAGTCGTGAAGAGAGGATTTAAATTACCCCCTGCGCAAGTTAGTATTCAAATTTGGCGTATAATTAAAAGCAAGTGCCCTCCTATTTGACAAAACTTAGTTCATAATGCTGATCAATTTGATGTTGAAAATCTTCTAGCTTTGGGCGCAGTCCCACATGTGGTTTATCTATTCTAAGAGGAAATGGTATTTGAAAAGCTTGATTTAAATTAAACCCGAATTTATATCAAATAAAGATTTCTGGACATTATCTCTTAAGTTGGCTTTTCACCTTGCTGGCCCCGGGAGTTCATACCAGCCTCACTCGGGACATGAATAGTAGTATTAGTCCCCCATTTCCATACTAATTCCAACTATTTTTCCTCTTTGATATTTCACTACTAATTATTCTTTCTTTCTTTACACTAGATAGCCCTTATACTAGGTCAGACCAAGTTGGTCTCGACTACTCCATATCGATCAAAGACATAGAAGGCCATATCGCACATTTCCTCGCTAGGCTTTTCTATCCTTTCCTAGAGTCCAGAGCGTATGCCCTTTCGATGAATATACTGGGCTAGAGCGTTAGCGACAGTGATACCATCGCAGGTACATTCGGCGACAAAGTTTTTTATCCACTTAAAGTCGCCCATTTCCTCATCTATTGATCCCCTGCTTAGGGTAAACTCCTCCATACATTACATATTTAGATTCAAGAGATGTCTCTCAGGTGGCAAATCGTCCTGAGATGTTTCTCTTGCAAGTACGTAGGTCATGTTTGTGCAAAAATCACAAGCCGGACTTCATATTTCTATATAAGATTCAGGACGAAGTACATAAATGTTCTTACGACTCCTACAGGGGTGACATTTGGCTCGCCTTCTTGATCTAAGAATTCAAGGAGGTCTAAATCAGTTTCAGAGATGGAGCATATATAGTAGCTGGGGTGTGTGGTCGCTGGCCAAACATTGTGCCTTTTTGGCCAGCTGCCGTAGTGGTACAACCCAAGCACCCGCGATCCGTCACACTCAGATTCCATATTCCCAGAAACGCTATTGATTGCTCCCAGAAGTAGTAACCAAGCTCTTTTACGAACGAAATGCTAAGTTCCTCTCTATACTTTCATTCAATGCGGGCACGTCTAGTACCTGCTCGATAGCTTCCACTAATCACATACATTATCCATATCAATTTACTGAAATCGAGCACGCTGTTATTTATTCTAGCGTAATCTGATAGACCCGGGCATACTCGGCAATGCGGGCGGATCATAAATGCTTGTTATACACTAAGATTATCCAAGACGGTCCCAACGGTTTTTGGAGTCGCATTCTGGTATACTATCGATAACTTATGGAAACCTATGGAAACATGTAACAAATCCATTCAAACCCCAGTTCAATTGATTAGGGCTCTATTTGGTTAAATTCAACAAATTCAATGTTACTGCATGGACAACTAGTTGTCTTAATTACATCCTCAAGCGAGTCGTCGAGAAGAGAAACCGACATAATAGTCCAGCTTACCCAGCGGCACTCCCTCCTTCCGCAAAATTCCATACGTGGTAGTGAGATGAAAGTAAATATTCGGCAAGACAATGGTATGGGCATAGATAGCACCGCTAATTTCCGCCGCCTGGTCCGGGCCCATTTGAGTGGACTTAAGCTTATCAGCGTGCTGGTTGACGACATCCTTGTCGGCCTCTTTGAGCGCTTTTAGCACCTTCTCAATCCGCTCATAGCATTCAGCATATGTGGTGGGTTTGCCTTCAGTGGTTACCGGCTCCCGACCGGTCAGTCGGGCGACCAGGTATTCAGAGAATTGGGTTGCGATGCGCACTTGGTCGGTCACTGGATACATGTCCTCGCAGAGACGTGCATTGAGCAGATCGGTAGCATTAGGGCGTTGCTCGGCTTGTTGGAGAAAGTGGGACAGGGAGCCTAGGATGTGTTCGGCCACCACAATGGTTCCGTCATAGAAGGTGTGGACCATGTTGGAGTAGGAGGGTTGATGTATGAAATCTTGAGAACAGGTTTGAAGAGTTTTAAAGTGAATGTTCTCAAAGGTTACAGACATGAGAGGCCAGTCTCACCCTAGGGGTCGGCCCCAGGGATCTAGCCATCTTTAGTTAGAATTTTGGGGGCTGAAAATGCTAGGACATGATGTAATAATAAGGGATCAGGCGATGCAGGTAAAGATAATTTTGTTTTGTCTACATTTGTGCCATTTCATTTGTTAGGACACTGAGAATGTAGGGACCAAAGGGTAGGAGGGGAGAGTTATATTGGAAAGGAGATATCGTATGGAGGGGTTGCTGCCCGGGGTACTACATGGTGGCCTAAGGCATCAACTCCGAGTACTGAAGTTTTGAAGTAGCCATGGGAGATATGGTAGGTTTGGTGGCAATGAATTTATAGCAGAAAAGATATCGAGCATAGGCGTTTGCGAGTTCGGCTGGCTCGCTTAGCAATGTCGATAGAAGCCTCGACCTCATTGAGGCGCTTAGCGATGTCAGTAGACGGTTCACTCTCACCTCTCATTTCCCAGAGCTATACAGTCCACCCCGGGAGCTATAGGTCCTCTGGGACCATGACCGTTCCTCCTGTGAGCGGCCAAGAGCGTGCCTAGGAACCATGCCATGGATTCTGGGATCGAATATGATCCCAGAAATGTGAGGGTCTCACTCGCGAGATAAAAAAAAGCGGGATCTGGTCTGGGTAATTAATATTTGGAATGCAAATTAAAACGCGAGCAAAGCCAAAGACACTGCTTGAAGAGACATGGCGTTGATGAACAATAACATGCAACCAACGGCTATTGGGAGTTGACCGAAAGCACAATCAATATCAACGATGCTTTCCACAACAATCAGTAGCTTAAACGAGAATAGACATATAGTCTGTAAGACATCGTCGACGAGTAGTACAAGGCCCATAGTGGTGAAAGATGAGAGGTCAACGGCAAGCAAACTTGCAGTTGTTGGTTAAACAATTGGTTGTCTCAGAAATGCGAGGCTTTAGAAAAAAATTATAATTATAATTTATTTATTGTGTTTTTAGGGAAGTAGGGTGTTTATTGAATATTATTAGGTAGACAGCAGTCCCCACTCCAAATCACGCGTATTTTTCCTAATACCTAGACACCCCCCAAGTCTCCAGCTATAATTTATTTTCACCCGTGCTAAGCTTATTTCATGCTATATTTTTCAGGCCCTATTACAACTCCTTGTACCTTGGTGGCTTATAATAGTTCTCTAAATAATTAATAGAAGCCGTGTAAGATACCATTAAAGCTCAGCGCGGAGGATTCTTCTCAAACCTTCACAAGAGATTTTCATCAATTTATATATAGGCTTTTTCATACCTCTAGAAGTCGCTTTATCTCTACCACGGTTTAATTTACGCACGCGATAAGCTGACTGCATAGGCTATCTAGTTTCCCTATCCTTAGGCTAATAAGTAGTCGTAAATAACTTAGGAATCTACTGCGAACTCTTAAGTATAGAGAATCCTCTTTAGAACCACAAGTTATCGTGCTTTACCCTCAGGGCCTTAGTAACTTCTAATCTATTAAGATAATTTATTAAAAATCGCGGACCGAGAATATAGCAAACAATCTATTGATTGCAAAGGCTCTGGTCTGGTAAAGGTTCCGCTTTAGTCGTACAACTTCATGTATGTTATTCCGGTGTATCTTTATCAACCTGCTCCAGATCCTGGTCTATTACTAGCATTAGGGATAGATAGTAGGAGTTCTTGATAGGTCAGTCGTCATTTTATCAGAGGCATAGTTGGCAACATACTAACTGCGAGCCAAGGAAAGCCCAAAATCCCGAAGCATCCGCTGATAAGATGAATACTTGGCCGGTTTCCCGAACGCGTATGCCCACACAGACATCAGCGTCGCACACCTTGCTGTATTCAGACGCTTTTTTCATTAGGCTTGATTTGCGACGACCTTGTTTTTGGCGCATGGATTTTTTGACAGATTTAGATCGATTGGAATGGGTGGGAGATGCGGAAGCCATGTTAAGAGATGCCTCAAAGCGCCACTATTGGGAATGGCTGAGGAGAGCAGGGAACTAAATAGCTGCGGGTATAGATTAAGTAGGTCTCAGGGATTCTGAAAAGCTTCGAATGGCTACAGTGTTAGGGCGTTGAAAACCAGTGTCGCTCTCCAGAAACCGTGGTCTTCAGAGTCATGGCCCACGAAAAAAAGGTTGAGGAGCCGGTCAACGATATCATAGTAACGTATCAAGCTAAGGTCTAGTTATACTAGAATTTCGTTTTGGACAGCTAACCGGTGTATAAACATTGGAAGAATCGGTCAACTGCAGGTGTGATTAGAGCAACCTTTATTTTCCTTTTAGCAAATAAATCCTTTTTGTGTTAATTAATTTCACAATTGGCATACCTCAAATTCAAGAGGTAAAGATTTGATGGAACTTCCGTACTCGGATTTCTGAGCCAACTAATCGTTTAATCACCAACCGCAGGTCTACCCTTAATATTTTACCATCATGTTCTCACCACTCCTCAGCTAGTCTTTGGTGTTTCATTCATTCTAATATTATCATCATTGAAGATACACAAACCCTACGTTACATTATATCGCTCATCAACATTGTGACTCTACGAGCAGTTCTTTCTTTCAATTGCATGCATTTTGTGTATACAGTCTGTCCCTAGGGGGAGTTTCGTAGATGAATAATCAATATTAAGAAAAGCTATAGTCGACTCTAGATACAAGACGTAGCGCGAGGAAGCAAAAGGAAAGGTAGCTTCCTCGCGTTCAAGGGGAACCCAGATGCACCATGTGGTCCCGCGCGGACCGTATCTCCATCCGTCCTGTATGCTTCATGATCCACAAAGTGTATGCCACACCATGCGTTGTGCATCATGCAGGTGATCTGGCAAGAAGTACGTAATGCGTGCATGAACCCCTGCATTCTACATGGGTGGAATATCTGAAAGCATTATAGTTCAATTGCAGAAATCCGTAATTTCCTTCACGCCAGAATACTAGAAGGCCGGTTGGAATTAGATTAGACCACAAATTTAGCCTGTAGGCCTGGCCCAAGTCTTCAACCTTATTCTTTTATCCCCCGAACGATCGCTCATACACTCCGTGTTAGAAGCGAAATATATTTGACTTAGAATATTCCACCCAAGGTGATGCTCTTGACATTCACAAATTCCTCGATTCCATATTTGCTTCCTTCGCGACCAAATCCGCTCTCTTTCACGCCGCCAAATCTACAAGATCAATCGTCGCGTTAGCCAATGGTTCAATGGAGAATTAGGGGGTTAGGCATGGGATGCTTACGGAGCAGCGACATCACTGACAGATCCAGTATTAACACCCACCATACCAACCTCGAGGGATTCCGCTACGCGGAAAACTCTCCTGATATTATCACTGAATATATACGCCGCTAGGCCAACCTCACAGCGGTTGGCTAGCTGGATTACCTCTTCCTCAGTATCGAAAGGGAATAGGGCTGCTATAGGCCCAAAAGTTTCTTCAGAGGCAATGCGCATATCATGGGTCATGTTAGCCAAGACTGTAGGCTGAAAGAAGTTGCGTCCTAGGTCATTGATTGGGCTCCCACCCAAAAGGATACGAGCACCTTTGGATTTAGCATCCGCAACGTGGTCAGCAACTTTTTGTGCGGCTGCGAGATGGATAAGAGGCCCATGGGTAACACCCTCGGCGAATCCAGCTCCTACTTTGAAGTTCTTAATTCGCTTGACAAGAAGCTCCGCAAAGGCTTCATATTTGGATCTGTGGACATAGATTCGATTGGCACAGACGCAGGTTTGTCCTGTACCTCGAAACTTCGACGTAAGAGCGCCAGTGACTGCGAGATCGATATCTTCCACGTCATCAAAGACAATGAATGGAGCATTGCCGCCAAGTTCCCAAGACACTCGCTTCACACTGGAAGAAGCCTGACTCATTAGGAGTTTACCCACACGGGTCGAGCCCGTAAACGAGACCTTTTTAATATCCGGGTGAGTGGTGAGAGTGTGGCCGACCTCAGAAGTATTCTCTAGCGCAGTCACGACATTTATCACACCCTTAGGAATACCCGCTCTAAAAGCTAGTTCCATGAGGGCATTGGCAGTAAATGGAGTCTCCCCGGGGCTTTTCGCAACAACCGTGCAGCCAGCGGCCAATGCCGGGCCGATCTTACGGGTGATCATAGCAGCAGGGAAGTTCCACGGAGTGATCAAGCCACAGACACCCAGAGGTTCCTTAATTGTGAAAACCCGGTTACCCGGAACGGATGTAGGAATCGTATCAGCATACAACCGAGGGGCCTCCTCACTAAACCATTCAATGAAAGCTGCGGCATATTTGACTTCGCCTTGGGCCTCTGAAAATGGTTTCCCATTCTCCCAGGTTATTAAAGTCGCCAAGTCGTCCACGTTTTGCAGGATGAGGTCATTCCAACGCCTCAGCAATCGAGACCTTTCGCGTACTGGCGTCTTGCGAAAGGCCGGAAAAGCGTCTGAGGCTGCCTTGATGGCTCTCTCGGTATCTTGTGCGCTGAATTCTGGACATGTTCCGATGACCTTCTCGGTGGCTGGATCTAATAATCCGTTGTCAGATGCTTATTTACACAGGCCATGTGCGGTTTTCCTCACCAGTGACCTCAAAGGTCTTTCCTGATTGAGCCCCAACCCATTCAGCGTTGACATGGCATTTTCCAATGAACAAAGTCTTGTCTTTCAACTGAAGCCATAGGTTAACCTTGCAATTCGAACCAATCGGAAACCGATTCTATGACTTACTTGTGGCACGATATGAGTCATGCTGAATGATCGTGCTCTTGCTTGGCGAGGTGAAAGCCGTAAAAGGTTAAGACTGAAGAGACGCATGCAGTTTCTAAGCATATGGGAGTTGCCTCATATACAATAGAGGAGCACATATGGTTTAGCTTATATTTATAATTTACATTACAGGTGTATTGTGTTTTGCTTCTACCCGCCGGCTTCTTTGGCAATACCGGTGGACTCGGACCGGGTTACATACCAGCCAGTGATAGCAATATACTTAGCGATGATTCGTTACATTAGTGAGAGATAGTAAGGTAAGATGGAAAACTTCGCCAAAATCTTAATCCGGGTTGCCAGGACTTACTAATTGGTACAGGCCCGCGTTTTCTCCCTGCTTCGATAATGTGCGGTCCTGTACTCGGGTACATGTACCCGGCGGCCGTGAATTGTGGTTTGGTGGGGAGAGCGCGATGCAAATCATTCTGCGTAATCTTCAGCTAGTAGAGCATGTTATCAATTAGAAAAACTGTTCGCATTTACTCGGGCTGCTGTAAAGCTATACCCTAGCATGCGTGCTTTTTGTTTTAAATTCAAACCAACAGGTCCTGCGCAGGAGTTTACGAGGAGCTTTCAGGCTTATAACCTTAATAGCAGCACGATAGAAGCCGCCTGAGATAAAGCATGGTATTAAATGACATAACATAGTTTTGCTAATAATGCATCTGTCGGGTGAAGAAATAATTTTGTGAAAAGCTATATATGGAGATCAGAAGATATTGGAGCATTTGGATGAGGCACCCTGGCCACCATATAAACAGTTTATTAATACGGAATAAAATAACCAAAGGGAGTATGTGGAATTTATTGGCTTGCAACACCAAGCCCACTAGTCGAAGAATTGGGATATCGTGGAGAAATCGATGAAGATAGCCCAAAAACTATCAGTCTTCTGGCCGCGCTTGGGAAAGCAGCCAACGCACCATTCTATTTCAGAAGGAAGCTTTCTAAAATCACTACTCATCCAACAAAATCAAAGAAAAAGAATTTTAGCTTTCGAACATCAGTTAGGTAGAGAGACATCACTTCGTTCATGAATATCTACTGTCCGGCCTCATATGCCTTAGCCATATCGCCCATAGTATCGAATCGCCAATCATAAATAGTATCCGACAAGTTTCCCATAGTGGCACCGGGTCGCTCAATCCAGGCGGACTTAATTCCGATCTTGCTGGCAGGATGATGGTCGTGGAACTGGCTCTGGGCAGTTTGAAGGACCTGTGAGGGCTCAATGTCGAAAGTCGATTTCACCGTGCTGAGCATGTATTTGAAATTCTGAAGATCGGGCTTGTAAGAGCCCACATCCTGAGCAGTGATAATCAAATCAAAGGGGAAGCCCTCTAGGCTGCCTGCGTTGGTCTTGGCGAAGGATGCACGATCAACATTCGATAGAACCACCAACTTGAAATGCTTGGAGAGACGCCTGAGGGCATCAACAGTATCTGGAAACGCGGGCCAGTTACCGACTGACTCCCCAAATCGGTTACTTTCCTCCTCGGAGGGGATCTCCAGACCCAGACGCTTGGCGAACTCAGGGTGCACAGTTGTCAACAACTGATGGTAAGGCATATCAGGAGTCTTGCTCTGCTGCTCGCGTTCTAGCTCGTGGTAGACAGTGAGCAAATGTTTGCGTGAGAATTGAGCGGCTGTCTTGTCAAGTGTGGGCTGGAATGCAGCGAGAATTCCCCCTTCCCAGTCGACGAGGGTACCGTAGACATCGAAGGAAAGCACGCGGTAGTCAGAAAGATGAGTCATTGTAAAGATCTGACCTCGATTATGATGAAATCAATGGTACAACAAATAGATAGTCTGAAGCTCGAAGAAAGATGGGCGTTGCCTTTAAATCGGACGCTTCTGGGTACTGAGACCCGAAGTACTGACATCATAGCCAAAGTCCACTGGCCCGACGATGAAGCTTCTCAGGCTATCAAGCCACAATGACAGTATTTCTATTGTCACTAGTCAGTCCAAAGTTCAAAACTGTCCCAAGACATTTCCCACCTATCTCCCCGTTTATCCTTTTCTCGTGTATGCTTGATGCACTCAAGCATCCAGGCAGTAAGGTAGCAGGGCTTTGCTTGCTTGCCTGCAGATAGTCAGATCTGCCTTTCTTTGTCCTCGTGGAGCATATAAGGGGCTCCATGGTCATATTTCTTCTTAATTCTTACTTTCTGAAGTGACGTAGCAGTATACGTTTATTAATACTGCTGCAACAATTCGAGCCTTCTTTCATGCAAGTCGATAGTTCAACTAGACACAAATGTTATGGCACTAGAATAGTAGGGACCGAAAGAGAGGAGAGAAGGGTGAGAGTTGATTCCTATAAGTTGAGCTTCCGACTATCTACTACCAAGTGCTTTGATGCCTGAGGCCACATAACAACAATTTACCTTGTCGGATGATGTTGGCAAGACACTACTAAAGCTAGACTATGGATAATTGAGAGAGATTGATTTGAAATGGTCATTTGCTATTCGGTAATCCTGCGCAGTAATCCTACCCAGACACTGCTAATCTTCCTATCTCCCCATTGAGAGCCCTTTGAACCTCTTGGATCATGCCGGCTTCTATAGCCCCCTCTTGCCAGGTAAAGCCCAACAACAACCTTCCATCCCGCCCTGTCACAGCACTGACCTTGATCGCGGCGCTGCAAGCACTAGAGCTCTGGCTGAACAGCATACTCTTAATTTCGAAATTGCTTCCCCCTCGCAAAGTAGAACTTGCTCCAATGTTCGATAACTCAAATGCACTCTTTCTATTCCGGCCCAGTTTTTGTAGCATCCAGTGGTGCTGGTTTTGAATCAATGGCAAGTATCCAACCGGCATGTCACCCCCTTTCTGTGCCATGGCATAATCGATGGCCACCTTGGTGCGGCGAGTCTCATTCCAATCAAAGGATGGCTTTCTGCGGTACGTTACGGATAACGATCCGACATAGCAACCCAAAGTGGTCGCAGTGATCGGCTCCGGGAGAAAGCCTCGCAGTGACACTGCACAGTCTCCCTGTAGTGTATGATATGTTGACGGAAGAACAGAAAAAATGCAGGTCGCGATGAGCACTTGAAGTGTCGCCGTGACCGATGTCTGCTCCTTCTTACTCAGTGCTATGAGAACTTTTGTATCGACCTCAGATAACCACAAAGAAGAAAAGCGCGTCTTGACAGGTGTGAACTGAGGAGCAGCCGTCCAGCTATCAGGTGATGGCTCGCTATCCTTCTCTTGAGATTGCAAGAACTCTTGTGAAACATGGAGTGTATATAGGTCCTCTATTGGAGGAATGAGGGCATCAGAAGGACTGTAGACTGTATCGCTTTGCTCGAGACCGTCATATTGAGCCATGTATCCTTCCAGTTCATCGTGGAACGAAAGAGCGCTTTTGGTGTCCATAAGTGAATGATGAAACACGAACACAAGAACAAAGTTTCTGGGGCAACTGCGCCTCTCCACAACGCACAATCTCCAGAATGGAAAGGACTTTTTTGGCTGAATCTCGAAGGGGCAATTGTGTTGCTGCTCAAGGACCTTGTCAAGGATCTCTCTCCAATCCAAGCTAGGAGAATTCGCTTCCTCTTCCATAAAGATCACAACTTCACTCAGTTTAATCTTAGGAAGACGGACGAAATAAGGATTTGGTGTGTCAACAGCAAATGGAACTGCCGAAAGTATAGGGTGCCTCGCAATGAGCATCGAGAGAGCGTAAAACAGCGCCGGTTTCACAGGTACTCCGCTTGGTCGCTTATAGAGGGCTGTCAGACCCACGTTGAGATAGATTCCCAAATGACTCCGCGTTGTTGAATATTTCTCCGCATGTCCTAATATCTATCAGGAGTTGAAAAATTGAGGAGTTGAAATATTGAGGAAGTAGGCATCCTTACCGAGCAGCCGCAGTGGCGGAAATCCTCCTTCGAGGAACGCTTCCTCCATGACGACAGAGAAAGAAGATAGCTAAAAAGACTATGGCCAGATCTGTTCCGATGGTTCTGAAGCAAGAGCTATCGCTGGCTTTCATACTATTTTGCAATGCTAGTAGGAAATCTCACACCACCCTCCCCCCCCC